TAGCTGTAAGTTATCTCCTGGTCAACTTGAAAATTATTTGACTCTGTATGTATGGCCCATCTACATCACTCTTACATATGTTAAATGAATTTAGACAGGTAATGTATGTAACTTGGCTAGCTGGTCTCCTTTTTATGTGGCTTTTCCTCATTTTTTATTTAATAGGGAAATTGCTCTCCCACTGAATCTTAATTCACAATGTTAAGACTTCAGAAATACAGTTTTATATTCAAAAAGAATTTCAATCTTCTTACTGTCAAACACAATGTGCTCTCACATTGGCACTTAATATTGTCAGGATGTCAATTTAATTTTGACAGGGCCCCTATAGATGGAATTTTCAACCTTCTATTCTTAGTTAATATGGATGGATAAGAGGATATTTAAGGGTTTTTTTCCTCTCTGTTTTCATGGAAACATATACTTTCCCATAAGATTGGATGACAGTAATATGTTTGTAAAGCACTCTAAGCTTTTGAGAGCAAAAAGCTTCTGTACCACTCAAGACCTACTATTAACTGCCTCCAAATGGCTCCCTCACTGTTGTTATTTCCAAATGCTTAATAGTCTGTAGGGCACTGGAATCTTTGTTCCCAGTAAGAAATGTTTTTTCCACTTTCCTTTGGTGTAGCCCCATTGGACTTTTAGATGTAGCAAGTTATAGTGACAAAGCCATTGTTTTTTGCTCTTTAGGTCATGTTAGTGCCTAATGATTAGTAGGATGTGAATTTGTAGATTTTTGTCCAGGAGTGAACTACTCTCAAGACTCTCGTGATAGCTAGCTATGGCTGCATAACGAATGATTTCAAAATGAAGTGGCTTAAAACAATAGACATGTATTTATCTCACACAGTTTCTGGATGGAATCTGGGAGAGGCTTAACTGAGTGGTTTTGGCTGAGGGCCTCTCATGAGGTTATATCAAGGTGTTGGCCTGGAGCTGCTGACATCTGAAGGCTTAATTGCAGCTGGACTGGCTCAGTCCATCTTGGAAACCCCACTCACACAGCAATTGGCTGGAGGCCGAAGTTTCTTGACATGTGGGCCTCTGCTTGAGTGTCCCTAAGATAGGAGCTGGCTTCCTCCAGAGTGAGTGATCAAACAGAAAGACCAAGGAAGAAGCTGCAATGCTTCTTGCAACCAAGTCTCAGAAGTCATACATTGTCACTTTTCTTTATTAGAAATGAGTCACTAGGCTAGCCCATGCTCAGGGAAAGGGGTATTAAGCTCCACCTCATGAAGGGAAGTATAGCAAAGAATTTGTGGACATACTTTAAACCACTACAGCCCTCTTGATTTCTCCCCTTTGTTACAGGGTATTTGCAAAAAAATAAACCAAAGTCAGAGGTTTGTGGCCAGCAAATGGACAGATGAATACTGTTCCCTCAATATTGAGGTAAGTCATACAGAATTTCAACCTCTGGCCTAACCAAAGCGGTGCTCCACCAAAACTCTAAAAGGATGAGTGGTGGTTGGGTCTGAGAGAGCCAGGTTTCTTCTTTCAGCTTTTATTTTTTTATTATTATTATTTTTAAATATATATCTTTATTGATTTCAGAGAGAGGAAAGGAGGGGGAGAGAGAGAGATAGAAACATCAATGATGAGAGAGTCACTGATCGAGCCTGCAACCCAGGCATGTGCCCTGACCAGGAATCGAACCCTGATCACCTGGATCCTNNAGCGCTCAACTGCTGAGCCACGCCCAGCCGGGCTCTTCTTTCAGCTTTTAGAATGATACCATTCTCCGTTCCCCTTGTGAGTATGCAGTGGCCAGGAGGTAGCTCTTCCCAGGGCATGTGCGGAGTGGGACAACAGTAAGGATGGGTGCTGAACGGGGATAGGAGTGTTTGCGTTTGGTTGTACTTGCCTGGACTAATAGGTCAGATACAGGCAGCAGTTGGTAAGACCTGAGTAAGGAGTTAGCTGGTTCTGTTCCGCTGCCGGTTTACAAAGACCAGCCACAGATGGTGAGAGTGAGGCCATCAGTGGAATCGACTCTTGGGATCAAGCAAGCACCAAAGCCTCCTGCTGAAATTATCCACAGCACCACTGAGAGATGTGCAGAATCTGCAGGCGGAATTCTAGGCTTGGATTTAGAAAACAGAAACCGTGGTGGTTCTGGATCTTATCGCAGGGTGTGAGGAAAGGAGCGCTTGGTACCAGATGGAGAGGTTGCAAGAACAGAGTGTGACTGTCAGGCCACAGAGTGAAGCATGGTGCCATAAAGACAGATGGTGAGAGGGGTGCCCCCGTCTGTGGTGGCTTACTGCCTTTTCAGTACTCATCCTGCCTGTGTACCCTTCACACAGGGCTCTTCAAGAGCTACTTCCAAAGCATTTTGATTTAGAAGTCAAATGGAAGTGTTCCAAGCTTTAGTCCAGGCTAAGAGTATTTCATAGCTTTTCTTTTTTCTCACATTTCAAGACACCCAGGTTTTTGATATACTAATAAGGGAATGATAGGATGGCATAATTTATGAAACCAGGCAAAAGAAGATGCCATATAAAGACAGAGTAGAATGAAGACTAAAGTTTTCTTTCCAGTACATTCCTGGTATTAAGATACCAGTGCAAGGGCAGAGGAGGTGGGAAACACAGAAAACACAGAGATTCATACTTCAAGATATGTATCAACTATGTACATGTCATTACCCTACCAAAGAAATTCCATGGTTCTCTTGGTGCCACCTATAGATGCAGGTGGGAGAGGCCTGCCTTTGAGGCGCTCTGCTCTGGCCCTTCTCCAGCTGCACTCCTACCTACTGAGAAGGAAACCATCAGTGGAAAAAAAATGTGCCCATCTAGAGTTGACTTGACCCTTTCAGACCTTGCTCCAGGTACCCAGAAGGCAGAATTTCCTGCCCAAATCGCCCTGAGCCTGCATCCAGGGCCCATATGGGCTTTTCCCCTAGATCCTGAAATATTAGTACCTTGACCTGTGAAATGGCCCAAAATTAACCATTTTATAGAGGGAAAGGTGGGAATGGAGTTTGGGAATGTGGCCTGGAGTGCCCAGGGAGTGGGGAGTACTTTGCAGTGTGGGGCTGAACTGGCTGTGGGGGGAATACTACTCTTTGTGGGGACCAGCTCTCCTTGTTCCAGCAGGGAACTCTGAGAAGTCCCAGGATTCTAAGTGCAAACCTGGTCTTCCAATTTTTTGATTTCACATATTGTTGGCTTGTTTTATATGTTTTGCATATTTAGACATTTGATATGGGACATGTGTAGCTGTTTTGTGGGTCCCACAAATGTTATGGTTGGTTCTGGTTCCCTGTTTAATACAGAAGCAAGCTGAATCAGTTTGCCTGGTTTTTAAGGCTTTTTACTGTTGGTTCCTCTCTAATCTTACCTCCCACTGCTCTTCTGCAGGAATTTTCCATCCACAGAACTGATCTACCCATTGCATGACTCCACCTACATCATTTTCTCTGTGCTCAGGTTCACACTATTTTTCCCTTGGACTGCATTTCTGCCCTGCATTTGGATATGCCAAGCTACTGTTTTAAGACCCAGTCTCCTCCCTCTGGACCCCTCTAACAGCTTTTGTCTGAGCCACTTATTGGCACTCAAAGTGTAAAACCGTGTGTAGTCATTTTTCTTATTACGCCCAACAGTTTAAAAAAAAAAGTCAGAAATGTAGCTAGAGAATCAGGAGAATCAGGTACCAAAGGGGGAGATCATCAGCACTGGCCAAGGCTGTAGAGAGGTCATTGGGAAAGATGCCCCCAAATAGACCATGCCCATTCAAAAAGAGGTCTTTTGTGACCATTTTGAGAACAGCAGATTGTGTGGGCAAAAGCAACATTGTTGTGGGAAAAAACAGAGATAAGAAAGTAGAGACAGCAAATATACTTTGATGTTTCTAAGAAGTATGATTCTGAAAAGAATGGAGATAGAGTAGTTGAGAGGGTGGAAGAGGTAGGGTGGTTTTGTTCTGTTCAAACGATGGAGGAGATTGAGAGTGTTTGTGGAAGAAAGAGCTTGATTGGGGTGGGGGGATGGAACTGATAAGGAAAGAAAGATAGTTGATTAAACAAAATCCGGGAAAGGCTGGGGCCCAGTGCACAGGGGCTGGAGTTCACCTTGCTGAGGAGAAAGGGCACTTCTTGCTGCTGTAGCTAAGGCAATGAGGAGGGGAGGAGGGATGAAGGCTACCGGACGGGCATGCCAATGAAGGGACTGGATTTAAGGGAGTGGCTGTCCTTGTAGAGGAGAGGCTAGGAGAGACCGGATTTGGGGGGCGCATCCAGATGTCACACATTTAAATATCACATTCTTTATTCATTCCTTTCACACCTATTCAGTGTCCTGCGTGTGCCAGGCACTGGGATCTACAGAGATACGACTTTTCATGTAATTTGCTATACTGGTGACTCAAGTAAAATTTACTTTTTACTTTCCTAGAAGGCTTTAAGTAGAATTACATGCACGAATCAGACGAGAATCCTTTGTCATACCAGATGTCCTGAGTTGGGGTTTGGAAACCACGGGCACCTCAACAATGGCACTATGTTTCGAGTGGAGAGGGAGGAGGAGCCGAGACGGGCGAAAGGTAGTTTAGAGCCCGGTGACCGAAGAGGGTGCGTCTTCAGCTAGGAAGCTGCGAGCTCCAGGCAGCGCGGTAACCAGGGTAACAGCGCCTCTGCCCGCACAGGTGTGAGGACCCGCTTCCCCGCTAAACCACGGGCATCCACGGAGGCTGTGAAGGTCCAGATAAAAGCCAAGTTTGCGACCCCAACGACTCTCCCGCGGACGTCCACCGCTTCCGACTTCTTAAGGTCACTGCTACCTTTGCTCCTAGTTCATCGATGGGGGCGGAGGAGGGGAAGAAGCGGTGGGCAGGGCAAATTACCTTTCCTGTCTTACAATTGGTAGCGACGGGCTCTGAGTCCCGCCTCCGACGCCGCCGCCGACAGGCTCTGGGCGCTGTCACTCGCGCCTCCGCTACCGCCCCTCGCCGTGGCTGGGATCTCGCGGGAAGAGCAGCGGGCAAGGCTGTGGCTGGGTCTCCGGGCGGCGCGGGGAGCGGGAGGGCTCTTCTCACACAAGCGCTTCCTCGCGGAGGGGTTGGAGCTGCGGCAGCCGCAGGCCTGGGCCGCCCCTTCTCTTCCGCCTCCTTCTCTTCCTCAGGGCTCCCCGGTCCGCTCGCCCTCCGACGCTGCCCAGGTAAGGAAGCGCGGAGCGCGTCTCCGCCGAGGAGCGGTCGAGGAGCC